TGGAAGGGGGAAGAGAGGGAGAAAGGGGGAAAAACCTGAATGGTTTAGCCTCAAATCCCACAATTCTTGTAGAATTAGTTCGTGTATCTTGATAATACTTGATAGTAAATGACAAATGGTTGTAGATGAAGTATTTACCAAATGTTTCCTGTGCGCGGAGGAAAAAAACGAGAGAATTTTCAAACATAAGTGAACTTATAATGATGATGATGATGATGAAAGTCCATCAATAGAAAATGACAAAACTTGCCTCAGGATAATACCCTTTAAGCCCGATATGAAATCCAAGCTGATAAGTGAGAGGAGATTCGTGTTCAAAAATTCTAATCGGATGAACCAGAGGAAGGTTATCAAGAGTCCTACCAAATGCAAGAAAAATTCATTAAAAAATGCAGATGACAAAATCAAGGAATCTTATCTGACCGAGTGAGATATTTCCATACATGTGGATCATATACTCATCCTCAATCTTCTCTTTCAACTCTTTAGCTCCTTTGTCATCAATTTTGATCCGGCAGATAATATTGCACAGTTTATGCTCCATCAGAACGGCCTGCAAACAAACACAATGCCACACACTTGAAAACGCCACAAATCCTAAGAATTGAATAAGTCCTCTGATATCAATTTCTGTGGAACCTTGTTGTGATTGATAATGACAATATCAATAAAATAAACACATAAAAACCAAAATACTCTCGGAAAAGTCTTAAGAATAAATATAAAGGTTACCACGTAAGGAGAATTTTCACTCCGATCACCAAGTAAAATTTCTCCAAGATTCTCTGCATCTTCCTCTATCTTTCCGGGGCGACAAAACGGAAGTGAGTAATATGAAAGCGGAAGTTGTGTCTTGGTAGAAGTTAATCCTTTCACCTTCACTTTCAAGTCATCCCCCTGCCACCAACAAAATTGGTAAAAGTTATCTCAGGCAATATCTCAAACGCCTTCACGGCATAAAACTTGAATTTTCATAAAATCCCCTTTTCGTCATACTTCACTACATTTTGAACTCTAAAGTCCTATAAAAAAATGGGAATCCAATGAATCCATCGAATGCTTAATAAAAATTTCAGATGCATTGATGAAGTTTGAGTTGACCTCCTTAAAGTCCACAGGATGAACGCCGAAGAAGTAGAAACAGTGGACGGCGTGAACCAGAAGCAGAAAGCTCAGAGAGATCGGCAATGTCCGGACCGGGGAAGAACTCGGAGACGGCATTGGTGAGTGAGTAGAGTACAGAACACGAACTAAAGTCAACGAAATGCAATATTGTTCTTTTCTTCTCCATCTTCCCCATCCCGCGGAATTCCGAGATCGATCGAACCCAATGGATTATAAAAATGACAGTGGGACTTTCTCCCGACGAATCTCTTCTTTAACGAGCCTGTCGGCGGAAATTATAAAAAGAAAAAATAATAATAACGAATTTCCAAAATTATTCAGTTTTATGTTTAAAAGATTATCTATTCTGGCTTTATTCAAATTTTTTTTTTGTTAATGTTTGCTTTATTTACTTTTATTTTTAATTTCTTTTTTAATATTTGGCTCTTAAGTGAAGAGAGATCTTGCCTTCCTTGTCGTTAAAGATTTGATAATTCATTATTATTTAAAAAGAATATCTGAACAACAGTTGTTGCTTATTGTTAATAAGTCAAATATTATTCATTTTATTTGGTTGAATACATGACTACATTTTGAGAGAGTATATAGCTCAATGCATAAACTTTAAAATATAACTGTTTTTGTTCTTAGTCATTTTACTTTTAAGTAACTTTGGGTGTTCTTTTTTAAATACAACATGTGGAGGTAGAGGTTCGAACTCGCAACCTCGGAGGAAAGTGTTAATTATTACTGAACTATATTCACTTTGTCCTTCCCTTATTTTTTTTCCCTATGTTATTGCATGCAGACATATATTTAAGTACATAAATTAGCCTAGGTAAATATTTAGTAAACATATATTATGACCAATTTAATAACACTAAGTGGTTTATCATTTCTCATTTCATGTTTTATATTTTTTAATAAAAAAACTGCATTCGGTAATTGTTTGAGAAAATGAGCAAAAATACCTTTAGGATAACCTTTTCCTTTTTTTTCTT